TAATATACAGCTTCATTTATTCTGCACTTAGGATGTGCCAGGCATTGTGCTAAGTGCTTCACGTCCATTATCCCACAGCCTGGTGTGGTATGGGATCTTATCCCCACTTTATAGATGGAGAAACTAAACCAAGGCAGGCTGTGTAACTTGCCAAGGCCACACTGCTGCCTGAGAGGCATATCCACATCTGGCTGACTTTGGGACCCTGGCTCTTATCCCAGAGGGTTCATCTCCAGGGGCAGCATGGAGGGATTGGAGAAGCACCAGGTGCCAAGAGAACTTGGTTCTAGCCTCATGTCTACTCCTCACTTGCCATATGGCTCATCACAACCCATTTAACATTTCAGGTCCTTGGCCACTGTATCTTTAAAACTGGCACAGTGTCCTTTGTGCCTGCCCAAGGTTGCTCCTAGCTGGGGCTGAGGTGGTGGCATGTGAGGACTGGCATGTAAGCCAAGGTTCTTCCTTTTCCAGTTTTCATGTTGGCAGTGGCTGTCCTGACCCTCAGTCCTACGCTCAATCCATCGCAGATGCCCGGCTTGTGTTTGAAATGGGCACTGAGCTGGGCCACAGGATGCACATCCTGGACCTTGGTGGTGGCTTCCCTGGCATGGAGGGGACCCAAGTGAGACTCGAAGAGGTAATCCTGGAGCTGGTAGTGTTGTGCTGGGTTCTGTGGGTGGGGGTAGGAGGTAGGGAGGGATATAATGATCATATGGAGCCCACTGTGGGCGGGTCCTATGTGCCACATGCTGTACTTTGCGCTTTACCTGGATCAACTCACTACTTATTAAGCTGTGCTTACAGCTGAGCAAACTGAGGCTCACAGAGGTTACATCATACCCAGCACTGCCTGATTCCAGCCCACGCATTTAACCAGCCTATTTAAGGCTTAACCAGGACATATTTGCATAAGTCATAAAGCTCTTTGAGGGTCTAAGTATGCCCTATTCACCCTGAGGAGAAATTAGGTGAGAAGGCAGGGGAAGGAAGAACCAGGCTTCAGTCCACTTCCAGGCGGTCTGTCTGCTAACCACCTGTGAGATGAAGTCACGGAAAATGTGTTGCAGCAATGCCCAGTTCAATCACTAGGGGTCGCTTCTCCATAGAAAAAGCCTGCTTCTGGAATATCCACATCTGGGAATTGACCCTAAGGAGGTAATTTAGGTGGACACAAATAATCAGTCTCAAAGATTAGGGTTGCGGCTTTGTTCATAACAGAAGTCCAGTGGTCCACCTAACACTCGGGATCCATCTAACACTTCCCTGGTCCATCTAACACTCGGGATTAGTTAAATTATGGTACATTTTTATGATGAATACATATGTAATTGCATTTATTATTTAACTAATTGGTTATTTATGAAAGAAAGATCCACATCAGAGCTTCTGGAATCTGAGAACCAAGTGTTATATGAAGAATTCCTCTTTCCATTGTGGGAACATTGAGGAGAGTAATTTATACAGGCATGAGGCTCTCAACCCAGCCCTGTCCCCTCCTACCTTCTTGGCTAGCTGTCTGCAGTTACCAGCTGGGTCCTTAGCAGATGCCAAGTCTTTCTTCCTGAAATGAAAGAAGCTTTCAAGAAATAGACTTGGAGCTGTAGCAAGTCTTCAGCATAAACCTCACATTTCAAACATATAATTGTCCCCCCATTCCCCTCCCAACAGATTGCTTCTGTGATCAACTCAGCCTTGGATCTGTACTTCCCAGAGGGCTGTGGTGTAGACATCCTTGCCGAGCTGGGGCGCTACTACGTGACCTCGGCCTTCACTGTGGCAGTCAGCATAATCGCCAAGAAGGAGGTTCTTTTGGATCAGCCTGGCAGGGAGGGTAGGTGCCAGGTGGGCAGCAGAGCCCTATTTTCCCCTTAAGCTGGGGACAGTGGCTGGCTGAGCAGGGTCTGGTTTTAGGCCCAGTGGCAGGGGATGGGGGAATCTAGAGAATGGGTCCTTGCTTTAGGGAACTTATGATAAATTTCCCTCACCCCAAGACACTTATTTAGCATCTTTTTTCCTAGGCGTGTTCATATTTTGTGAAGATTGAGATCAAAATAACCTTAGGGATAATAGATACTTTATTGATCTCATTTTACAGGTGAAGAAACTGAGAGTCAAAGAGAATGCAAGTGAATTGCTTAATAGCTAGTAAGAGGCAAAGCCTGTATTTGACCCCAGTTGTCTGCCTCCCCTTAAAAGTACAGGCTCTTGCTTACCCTACTACCTATCATATTGTAATGAAAATAATTAATGACAACTATTAAGTCCACTTTATAGTACATAGGCTTGTTAAGTCTCTAGCCTAAGATCTCACAGCTGTTAAGGGGCAGTGTAGGGATTCAAGTTCAGGCCAGGCTGACTCAGAGCTGCTGCACCCACAAGTCAACATCAGCACTCTTCCCTACACTTCCAGAAAGATCAGTCTTCTCAGCAGCCCTGAGGGGTGTCAAGGACTCTAATCTTGGAGCTTTGCCCTCTGCTCTGGGACCCTCAGGCAAGAGAGCCTCAGGACTGTGTGCTCTTCCCCAGAAAGAATTCATGTGGAGGGGTGGCAGACTCCAGACAGAATGTCCTGTGTGTGTGTATGTAGGGATGGCATTCTTCTGGCCTCCTTTATAGACCTGGGGGTTGTCCTATCTAGTCCAGCCAGGAAACCTGGCTTCTCAGGTTTCTCATTTTGGTGCATCTAGTGACCTTTTTTGTGCGTCTGAGCAAGTGGCTTAACCCCTTGGGGTCTCGAGTTTGGGTGGGCTGCTCTTCTGCCTTTGCTGGGGCATCTAGGGGCTGAGATGCAGGCAGAGTGGTGTGTCCTGGGTACGGTTGCTCAGCTGCAAGGGTGAGTGTTCTCAGTGCAACAGTGGACCCATATCATTAAGAGGATGGCTGTTGGTGGCTCCTCTTGTGGGACCCACCCATAGTGGAGGAAAGGGCAGCCTTTTGGCTTTACAGACCTTTTATCCCTGCTGAGCCCACCATTGTGCCAGTTCCCCACCACCACCGCTCTCACATTGCTGCTTGTGCTGCCCCTGACCCCACCCCTTCCTACAGAGGAAAATGGTTCTTCCCACAAGACAATCGTGTACCACCTTGATGAGGGCGTGTATGGGATCTTCAGCTCAGTCCTGTTCGACAACATCTGCCCTACCCCCATCCTGCAGAAGGTGAGCCTACCCCTCATGGGCCTGTTTTCAATTGTGTGTTTTTCAGTAACAGTTGTTGCATTTCTATTTAATGTTTAAAAAGTAAAACATATTCATTGTTAGGAAATTGACAACAAGGATGAAGAAGGTTATCACCCATAACCCCACCACACAGAGTTAGACTCTTTGAACATTATATTTCTTTTCATTTTTAAAAAAATGTATTATACTTTTTTCCCATAAAGTTGGGATTATACAGTTTTGTAACCTGCTTTTTTCATTTATATGGGGTGTAGCTATTTTCATGCCATTAACTAGTAAAAAAAAGTATTATACTTTTTTTCCATAAAGTTGGGATTATATAGTTTTGTAACCTGCTTTTTTCATTTATATGGGGTGTAGCTATTTTCATGCCATTAACTAGTCTTTGACAACATGCTTTTTTGATGACCGCATAGTATTTTAGCCAGCCTAACACTAGTGGTTGGCCATTTGGTTTCCTGTTTTTGAGTGTTATTGTCTTGACATAAATCTCTAATTAGTATTTGGGGTAAATTTCTAGAAGTAAAAAGAAACAGTTCATCTGTAATGGGTTTTTCCACATTAACAGAGGGACAGGAATAGACAAAACATTCCTCCTAGCCTGTGGGACACAGCCAGGGCCTTTACAAGCTTTAACGGGCATCCTTAAGAAGGGAAAGAAAATTAGACACACTGTTGTATTTTCGCATTAGACACACTGTTGTATTTTCGCATCTTTAGGCTTTTATTTGTGTGGCTTCTATTCCTGAAAGGAAACTTTCCTTAAAGCGCCTAACCAGCACCTAGACCCTTGTGATCATGCAGTATGTGTTTTCCTTCCCTTCCTATCCCATCTAGTTTTTCAAGACCCAGTCAGATGAGTAAGCCTCTGTGATGAGCCAAGGAGTTCAGAGTTTTCTACTCTGACACACTAGCGTTGCCTCCATTCTTGTGGTAGCCCACATCCTACTGCGTGGAGAAGTGACCAGGCTGGCCTAGGCCCGCCAAACTCAGGTTACAGAGCAGGCAGCAGCTGCTTCCCAGTTCCTCTCCCTCTTTGGTCACCCTCTTTCTGTTGCATGCCACCTCTGACCCATTCTCTGTTCCCTTCATCAGCGTCTCAGAAGAGCAGGACTGTGGTCCCAGATTATTGCCACACCGCACCTCCCTGCCAGGATCTCTGCTTTGACTAATCTCTAGTTGGCATTCTTGACTTGGACCAGGATGTCACTGACTCTCTTTGTGGTCTGTGCTTTTCCTCCCCTGGACGATGCTGCAGTTTCTTCCTTCTGGCTGTCAACTGCTTACTGAGTCTGTCTGTGTGAGCAGATCCAGGGTGGAGTCCACAGTCTGGTGGTAGAGACAGATGTTGTATAGACAACAACATACATAATAAGTTAGCTCCAGCTGTGCTGGGAGTGTGTGTGAGAGAGACTCAGACTGGCAGGGGGTATCTGTACCTTCTTCCCCAGGGAAGGTCCCCCTCATCAGTGGGTATGGCAGCTTTGAGACCCTTCTCTTTATGCCTGGGGACTTTGTTTTTAGGCCTCAGGTATAAAATGTTGTATTAAACATAATCCTTGGCTCAAGATATACTTCTTATCATTGGGCCATGCTTGGCTCTTTTTTGTTCTTTGTTTTTTTTACTCCAACAAATATCTGGGTACCCTCAATAGGCAAAACACTGTGCTGAGGCCTGCAGAGGATAGCAGGTGAGTAAGAATTGTGTATGCCCTGGAAATACAATCCTGTTGGATAGGAACGTGTGTGTGTGTTTGTGTGTGTGTGTCTGTGTATGTGCGAGATTAGTACACAAGCTACAACAATGGCATGAGAAAAGTACAGAACAAATAGTATTGGAAATTTTTTCAAAAATCTTTTAATATGTATCTCTAAAAGGTAAGGACTTTGAAAAAATCATAATTTCATAATCAAATTAAAAAATTAACAATTCCATAGTATCCCCCCTCATTCAGTCACGGTTCAGATATTCCCAGCTGTCTCATAAATGGTTTTTATAGTTGATCTGCTGAAATCAGCAGCCAAAGGTGGTCCACATAGCACATTTGGTTGCCATGTCTCTCTCTTAACCTATCAGTTTTCCCACCCTGTTTTAAAATTTTTTATTTTTTAAATAATTTATTTGTTGATGAAACTGAGTTGTTTGTCCTGTAGAGTTTCCTGCATTCTGCGTTTTTGGGACTGGTGAATTTCCTGGATTTCCCTTTGGTGCTACTGGACATGTTTCTCTGTGCCTGGTATTTCTTTGAAATTCAGTAGTTAGATTTAGCAGTTTGAATAGACTCCCAATCAGTTTTTGGATAAAAATATTTCACGGGAGGTCCTGTCTTTGTTTTCTTCTTAGTGTAATAAGTATCCTTATCATTTTACCACCTCGTCCCTCTGTCACCTCCCATGCAAAGTCATCACTATCTTGGCTCATCCATTATCATTCTCTTGCTTTCTTTTTAAAAATACAATTATAGCTTTATCACATCCAAATCGATTCCTAAGATGTATTTATAATTTATAATTTTGTACTTGTTTTTTTATTGTTTTACTGGGGCTTTTTTGGCAGCTGGCTGGTACAGGGATCTGAACCCTCGACCTTGGTGTTATAACTCTGTGCTCTAACCAACTGAGCTAACCTGCCAGCCCTATTGTACTTGTTTTTTACTTTATAAAAAAGGTGTTATGATGTATGTAACCTTTTTGGACTTTTTCTCCCTTCACATCACAGTCTAAGATTCATCAGTACTGCTGCATGTCTCCAGAGCCCATTCTTTTCACTACTGCTGGTGACTGTGCCACAGTTTACTTGTCCTTTCTCCTCGGAAGGCATTTGGATTGTTTCCATAGGTCTTTGCTATGGTGAATACTGCCACTATGAATTCTTGTTTCTAGCTCCGTGACGTGTGAGCTAGGAGTGGAATGGCTGGGTGTAGGGCTTCATGAGATGGTGCCAAACTGTTTTCTAAAGTGGTTGTACTAATTGACAGTACCACCAGCAGTGCATAAGAGACTCAGTGGATCTACATTTTCCGAACACTTGGTATTGTCAGACTTAAAACATTTCCCCAGTGGAATGGATGTAAAATGGTATCTCACTGTGTCTTGATCTGCATTTCTCTGATCACTAACAAAGTTGGATGTCTTTTTGGATATTTACTGGCTATACATTTTCCTTTTCTTCCAGGGACTCCGTAAGTTGGCTACTGCCCTTCATGTTCAAATTTATCCCCCGAGTGGTCTGTCTGCACTCCCTGCCCCTGCTCACTCAGCTCCCATTCACCCTTCGAACCTCTCCAGTCTGGTATCTGTCCCACGACTCCACAGAAGAGGCTCTGGAAAGTCACTTCCGTGTTGCTAGATCTTCCATATGGCTCTTCTAGCCTTAGCAGCTGATCCTCCTCCATTCTTCACACTTGACTGTCTTGGCTTCCGTGGCGACATCCCAGGCTTTGCCTACTCCTCTGCTGTTCCCACCCTGTCTCTCTGGCACTTCTTCCACTGCTCACCCTCTACATGGCAACTGTCTTGGGCCTCAGTCCCTGATCCTTTTGTGTGTCTACATGCACTTTCCAGGTGAGCACTCTGGCCTGAGGCGTTCAGTATCTTCTATACTCTAATTATTCCCAAATTTATCTCTCTATCTTGGATCACATCCCTGAGCTCCAGACTTGTATATCTGACTACCCACTTGACCTTTCTACTGGGATATCACAAGCATCTCACATTTAACTTGTTTAGAACTGAATTCTTGATTTCTAACCAAAAACTTCTTCTCTCAGTAAATAGTACTGCCACTAGCCAACTGTTTAAGTGAAAAAGAAGTTGGCATTATTCTTGTTTCTTGCTTTCCCTCTCTTCCCACATGCAGTCCACCTGCAATTCTTGAATCTAGTTCCAAAATACATTAAAATTTTTTTTTTATTATTTTAATTTATTTATTGAATCAAAATTGATTATATGTATTTTTGAGGTTCAATATTGAGATATGTTGATCAAATCAATATTACTAGCATATATATTGTTACAAATCATTTTTTTTTTATTATTTTAATTTATTTATTGAATCAAAATTGATTATATGTATTTTTGAGGTTCAACATTGAGATATGTTGATCAAATCAATATTACTAGCATATATATTGTTACAAATCATAATTATTCTTTATGTCCCTTGTCCAATCTCTCCCCATACCTCTCTCCCTCCCCCCAACCCCCTCTAATTCCCCAAGATTTCTTCTCTCCTTCTGAAAGAATATTGATTACTCTGTTGATTTGTTGCCTAGATCTGTCTAATGCTGAGAGGTGTGATCATGTCCCCCAATATTATCATAGACCAGATGCTTCTTCTGTCACTCTGAAATGGGCTTTGTGGAGAGAGACATCCTCTTCTTTTCTTTATCTCTGTTGGTGACTCTCTCCGTGTGTCAATGCATTTCAGCGGCTGGTGGACCATCTGCATGGTGGTTGTGGTGTCTAGCTGCTTTTGCGGCAGCCGTGGTTATTGTGGTGGCTCTGGTGGGCCACCCACATGGAGGTGATGTTTTTGGCATGCTCCTTGGTGCTAGTGGTGTGCCTGGTTGTGGGGTGTGTCTGGTCCCCGGCTCCATACCTCGGGTCCTCAGGTGGGCCCCAAGGTGCTGGTGCAGTGTGCCTGATTGTGGGAGGGGGGTCCCTCCCTGACTCCATGACTCAGGTCCAAAATACATTTTGAATTCATCTAGTTATTTTTCTGCCACCACCATCACCTCCTGCCTGGGCTATTGCCATTACCACTAATTGGTCTTCTTGCTCCTACTCCAGCCTTCTTACCATCCATTCTCCACACCGCAGAAAAAGTCATCTTTTAAAAACCCAAACGTCGTATACCTCCTCTGCTTAAAACCTTCTGTGGCTTCCCATTGCTCTCAGAATAAAATCCAAACTCCTCATCATGGCCAGCAAGGCTCCTGTCCATCTTTCTAGTTGCCATCTTTCTAGTTTGCCCCCAG